CAATGCACTTCATGTAAAGGAACACTGGAGTGGTTATGGTATCAGGAGTGCCCGGGTGCCCCTCCATTGTACGTATTCAAATCTTTTTAGAACAGTTTGACTTCTTACCTGGCATCCACTAGACATCATTCCCTGCGTCCACTACTTCCGACATGGAGGTGGAAGCTTTCTTATGACCTAAGCCCAGTGGTGTAGGGCTTAAAACATTGACTGAAAGCGATTAGCTGACACTCTCAGACAATGAACTAGCCGTGCACTGCAGGACTTAGCTCAGGAGAGCTAACAGAAGCTCTAGCTTGGAGCTACTGACTCTCCATCAGACGTCGTGGAGGTGGGCAGCAATGGGGGGATCCAGGACAGTCCTGGCACCATAACCACTATAGCACACTTTATGCCGGCACCATAACAGAATGTTTTTCCTGATGATTGATGAATGATGAATGTCTTTGATCTGAATGATTTGGGAATTAATTTTAATGAAGGTACAGACATAGCAAGAGTCCATATATTATTTGTCTCTATTTGTCTTCTTTATCCAACACAATGCATTACTTCTATAAGTATTGACAGCTAAAATAAGTGGATCATCTATATACAGCACAAACCACAAAGAAACAATTATAAATATATTGTTCCATCTGGGCCTCCAGAGAAATTACTTTGAGCCTTTTCACAAATTTCTGAAATGACCCAGAGAGGTTGCCGTCACAAAGACATTTAACTACACATGTTGTGACCATGTTCAAAATCTCCAATATTTTGACTAGGCATCTCGCTGTATCTTTATAAAACAATGCTGTTAATATGCCAATGTGTCTCTATCTTTGGGTTTTATCCATATAAGGTTCAAGTAAACACTGAAAAAAGTATTAATTTATCTTCCTGGCAGATAATGAATCTGTGGCTGTTAATAAAATACTGAGAAGACATGGCCTGGAAGACACACGAGGGTTGGGTTTGGGGGGATTGTTTTGGTCAAAGGGTTGGTCTGTGCTAAATTTCAGATTCTCGAGAATTGAATTAATCTTTTTTGATATATGAAGAGACCTTATTTATCCCATTTTGGTAAAAACCCCTGGAAAGAATTTTGACCCTATATGTCTCATACATTTTTTTTTTATCTAAGACTGTGGTATGTAAAACGTTTTCTATTATATTCATTGTTTTTGAAACATAAAAAAAATAATAAAACAATATTTTTGGGAAAGAAATGTGGAGCATCTTAAAGGGATGCTCTGTTGGTAGTTGTTCTGTAATGAGTCTGGTGCAGCATGCTTCTTGTACCATCAACTGCGTCTGTGTCATTCTGTTTTTGAGTGAATTGACAAACTCAAGGGTTCCATTGCTTTGTATATTGCTAATGCAGAAGGTAAACCCAGTATTATTGTACATTTTCTACTATCCTTCACAGCTCAAAATATATTTGGTACAATTCATGATTCTAGATTCCGTTTTCCTTTCTAGATAATTTGCATTTCATCTAACAACTCTTTCTGGTTTTGCTGTGTTCCGTGGCTCATGACCAATCAGAAGGTTTGGTTTTTCTACACTAGTTCATATACACTTCCTCATTTCTAGCTCCCCAGAGCTGTATCCTACCCAGGCAACAGTGTAAGAAATATCTGTCTGGTTGATGGAAATATCTTCAGCAGGTCTTTTCATGAAAAGTGAAACCAAGTACTCACTAAGGTTGTAGGCTTCGTAATGGGTTTATTTGGCTGGGATTGTAGGATTTGTAATGGGTTTATTTTAGAATGGCGGTAGGATTTGTAATGGGTTTATTTTAGAATGGCGGTAGGATTTGTAATGGGTTTATTTTAGAATGGCAGTAGGATTTGTAATGGGTTTATTTTAGAATGGCTGTAGGCTTTGTAATGGGTTTACTTGGCTATGGCTGTAGGGTTTATAATAGGTTTGTTTGGATAGGCTTGTAGGGTTTATAATGGATTGATGTTGGTGCTTTTGTGGTTAACACTAAAGCACATCAGTAGCTCTGCTGAAACAGAACGTATATTTATTCATCAAAGTAGAAGGTGACAAACAAAACAGCGAAGACTCGAAAAAGAAGGTGGCAGACTGCCTCATTCTAGAGTGTTTGCAAACCTGGAGACTCCAGGTCAACCCAGACAGGTCGCAACTCATCCATCACCATATCTTTACTTATGGTGTAATCTGTCTAGTCCCATCTCATAAAGAGACAGTCTATGCACCATAAGCACTACATACCATTGCAGTGATGATGTTATTACATTGCCATATTTAAGTGGTTTGTCAAAAACTGGAAGTCCCCAAAGCACCCACTGCTCCCCTATCCATCACCGCCCACACACTCTCACAGGAATTGCTAATGCAGAAGTGGCGCCTCCACATTAACAATATTAATTTCATCCATATTTTATTTCCAGCGTGCACAGCCCATAACTGCTGTTAAACATGTTGTTAATGTAGGAGTATAACATCCTTATTGACAATACAGCAAGTGGGGGCTGAGCTGCGAGTCCAATGCGAATCGCTGGATTTGCGCTAACAGCTCAAAAACATCTTGATCAACAAACAGAGAATGGCGCCCACAGCCCAATAGCACCATAACCACTGTACTAAAAACAGTATAGACTGACCATTTAGTGTTGTAAACCAGGACAGGACTGTATATAAAGCCAGATAGTGGGTATATGAATGCATTAACATCACCATTTCAAAACAGTTGCCGGCACAAACATTTTTGATACCGACACTGAGTTTCTATTTATTTTTTTCTGATGGCCTTTGTGGCTCTGGGTAGTTAGATTATAAATCCAGCACTCTAACCAGCAGCAAACAGGTAGTTATGTAAGCACACACATAAAATCCTTAACTTGGGGGGCGGAGCCTAACCGCGAGACAGGAGAGACGCCATTTCTGGTGGCTCCCGACAAAGCAGCGAAATCCAGCACAATCCCTCTGCTTACCAGACCCATCCCGCTCCAATACCTGCAAGAACGGACTGGGGATCATCCGCAGCACCCATTGATGCAGTTCCTATACTCCCCACAACAGGGGAAGCCAAAACGCAAGCCTGGGGCCTACTACCCACAGGCGCCCGCATACCTCGAGGGGCTCCTCAGCAACCGGAGCCTGTACAGTGCCGCTGAGACGCCTGACTGCCGCATCCCTGCACACACACACCAACCTCCAGCAATGGGACGCAGATCCCAGAAGCCACAGCCTGGCAACAACATGGAGCAGCGGGACATCGGCACTTTCATGAGGCAAGTACCGACCAAAATGGCGACCACAGACGGCCCTGAAGGCCCACACCTCCCAACAACCCCAGATGTGCCAAATCTGACCCCCAGCCCGACGCCAGGAACACAAGGGGAAGCACAGACTATCTCCACAGACATCCCTGGGGGGACAGCCCCTGCCACTAAGCAGGACCTCCATAACATGCAGAATACTCTGCTAGAAATACAGAGGCTCCTCACTGCAGACATGGCTACCCTAAAATCAAGCATAAGACAGATCAGTGAGAGGACGACTGCTGCTGAAGGGGACATGGGAAAAATACGTGGTGAACTAACAGAAATGCAAAGCACAATGCACCAATTCCAAACTGCACAGCACAACATGGCGCTACAACTAATCGCGCAGGAAGACAGACACCGCCGCAACAATGTTAAAGTCAGAGGGGTACCCCCCACGATAACAACGGAGGAATTACCCCACTACATGAGGAGGCTTATTGCCACGCTATTACCAGCGGCCCTAGCCAAAAAGTTCACCATGGCTGGACTGTACCGCCTACCTACCATCACCAAGACCTCGACCCCAATCACGGGCGATGTAATTATTCAGTGCTTGTCACCCCAAGACAAAAGCTACATCATGACAGCAGTGAAGGGCAAGACCCCAATGTTATTCGAAAACTCGCATCTAACATTCTACCAGGATCTCACCAAGGCCACGCTACAATGGCGTAAATCTTTGGCAGCCCTCACTAGCCACCTACGCTCAGCGGGAGTAGCATACAGATGGGGGACACCAAGATCCCTTCTTGTATCCCATAATGGAACTGTTCACAAGCTCGCAGCGGAATCGGAAGCAGGAGCGCTGCTCCAGGCTCTGGGCCTTCCAGACGCCACACCGACCACCTCTACTACACCTCTTACCCAAGCCTGGGACCCAGAAGCAACAGTACCATTTGTGCCAAGAAGCACGCCAAGACCCACACCAGCCACCTGACTGATAAGGGAGAAGACACAGCCCCACGTTTGGAAGCAATCTGCAACAGTTCATCTATGTTATATATCTGTACTTTCAGCTTTAGTTCTCTGTTCCACAATACTAACATGTTACCCTTTTGGTACTCATACCTTCCATGGCCAGGCCCTACTGGGAGCAGCTTAAGCCCTGTCTCGAAGGTACATACACACTAGGCACACCCACCAGAGGTGTACAACCCCCCCGACGCCCCCTTGGTTAGGGGCATGTACCTCTTTTGGGAACCAAATAGTCCGCCTGACACTACCTACTCCACTACTCTGGCTACCCAACGAATACCTCACACCCAACCCTCATGAGCCACGCAGCTACAAACCAACACTCTACAACCACCCTCACGTCACTCACTCGTTATTAACAAACACCCAGTATGTTAAAACCCCGCATCCACTCACTCTAACTAGCCCACACATACTGCCTCAAATCGACCTGGTAGAGGATTACCATCACACAATCTAAATACGCTACTATGCACCGACTCCCCAACCGGGGCTACAAACCTACTACATTTATAAAAAATGTGTGTAATGTCCGTAATGTTGTACTAATCTCTTACAAACCTCATGCACTGTATGATAAATGTTATAAAGTACTATCACGAATGTGCCCGTCCTTGTTGTTGTGACAAGGCGAGCTTCTGTATAATTCGATGCGAAGAATTATAAAAAAAAAAAAAAAAAAAATCCTTAACTTACTAAAACCTTATCGGATTCTTAACAAGAAAAACCCCACGTGTGTCCAGAGGATTGAGCTTTTATTAAACCAGGTGAAATATGCAGAATATATTTTGTGTTATCTTTAATGTTTTCTTAGCTTTAAAACAAAACAATGTAACAATCTAATTTAATACACATTGGATACTGAAATGTTGTCTAGGAGCAATACATACAACAATATACAACAATATATATACATCTATATATTTACACAGAGCACAATGAACATCGCCAAAAAATAACGTAAATGCCAAAATAACAACTTATATCATGGAAAAATGCACAGCTCCCTAAAAGTAACCATTAACAATATTAATTTTTTTTTGCAAAAAAATTAAAAATGCAAGTAAACACAATTTCCTAATTTACACAACATAATTCTACTAACATGAATCATGGGCCAGCCGTTCTGTTCTTTTTTATTAATTTTTTTTTCTTTCTCTTCTTTTTTTTTAAGCAGCTTATTTACATTGGTCAAGGTCACAAAACCAGTGTGACCTGTTACAAATTTCAGACCACTTCCATGATTTGATTGCACTAATTTTGCGCTAAGGAACTAATTTACAGTAAGCAGCTATTTACCTGGAAGACGCCTTTTTTTATTTTTTTATTTTTGACGAGCTTCTGGGTAATTGCAATATCAGCCATCACGATCAGTTCTAACTATTAGACTTCTGATGTTAGAATCACTATAGACATTACCAGTGCTAGACTTTTTTTTTGCTAATGAAGGATAAAAAATAGGTTTGGTCCGAAAGCACAATAATTGGCAGGTTGACCGTTTTACTAAAGCCAAAAAATAAATTAAAGTTTACAAAAAAATAATTCTTCATTGCATCATTAACATTAATAACAGGGGGGGGAGTGGGGAGGAGGAGGGGGGAGAGAAAACCGCATCATTTCCCTTACATGAATATATAATTTATTAAGAACTATTATTTCAGTATTACTCTAGTAAAAACCACTAATTATGGACGCCCAATATTAACAACTGTATTTGTAGAAATTAAACTGTGTAGCATTTACTTTGATCCCTTAAGTCTGTTTTTCATGTGCGCTCTATCAGATGGACATCAAAGGTAAAAAAGAAAATGGGACTCCCAGGAGAAGCAAAATATTTTACAAAATATTGTTATGTTCACAGTTTGTATCATATACTAATCACACGTTAAATGTATTTTTTTTAGAGGGACCGAGCTCTTACTGTGCTGAGAAGGGTTTAAAAATATAAAATCACTGCCGTACTTGTCATAAATGCCTATGTTCCTACAATTGTGCTGCTTGTTAAATGCTAAAAATTGTTGACTCTATTAATGTACACCAAAAAGTGGACAGTGCACTCGCTGCAGGCGATTACTTCCACCAGGGTGCTCCAGGCTGGGAGAGCAAATTTGTTAGAGCCAAAACGTTGTCATCTTATTTTGTTCCTAAATAAAAACTGCCTCTCGAAGAAATCATTGGGTGTGCCTAGACATTTGTGTATATTTCTATTATCATTCACCCAAATCTGGTCTTCTAAAGCTATCTTGTAACAATGCGTATTCACGACACTCTCAATAAAAATGCATTTTCCATAAAATATGCATAAAATCAGAAAAACTAGGTTTGGATGAGAGTTTTGAGCTCCTACCTACTGTGGAGATTTGCAGCCACTGCATAAAATTCAAATGTGAATATATTTATTTATTGTTTGGTCTTTTTGTATATTTTTACAGCATCTATATAATGCATTAAAAGTTTGAGTTGACCGCAGTCTGGAGTGTGAAGACTCGGCTACCAGACCCAAACAATGACAGCATGACACACAATATTTTCCTGGATCAATTCTATTTAACTGCAATGTAATATTTTTCTCAGTTACAAACTATGCATTATAATAAAAGTATGGGGTTGTCATCGGAAGCATTTCAGGAAGCAAGTCGGGTGTCTAAAGTGAATGTTAAATCCCGAAATGCAATTTTTTCAAAGCCCCTGCTCCCTGTTCCCCACCCATAGTAGTTTAATATTAACCCCCACTGGCTGGCAGAGAATTATATAAATTGTAGTCAAACAACAGTTGGACGGCTAAGGTTGAACACCCATGCTTTAAAATATGAATTATTGAAGTTTAAATTATTTTCTGTGAAGATAATAAACCTTATATAGCTTTCTAGAATTACCTTATTGTGTCACAGTTTGGTTTTTTAAGTACGGTCAACGTAAAACGGCAATATGGGTCATCTACCAGTCCTCAACCAACAGCCTTTGCTCAAAAGTACAAAAAAATGGTAAAAAAAATTCTAGGTACTGTAGTTTTTTTTCTGACCAAGGAAACATGTCAAGAAATGTAATTCCTGGCAAAAGCCGTGACGATGTTTGTAACATGTGTCATTAAACTGCTCCACTCTCTAGTGCAGGTTGCTCAACTGGAAACAAGATAAATAGCAAAACAGTCTTAATATTTGACCACTGTGTCGATAATATGAGATGGATTTATTTTGTTCCACCAGCAAAGAAGAACCATAGAAAGAGGCATGGTCGCAATCTTTGAAATGTTGTGTATTCTAATGGAACTTTTTGCTTCAAGAACATAAAATTGAATTTTGGAATTGTTTTTAGAACAGGTAGAAAAGCTTATATTTGTAGGGTACAAAGCAGTGCTATTTATATCACCACGTAGAGAAACATTTAGTTCACTGCTACCATTAATTTTACAGTTCATGCTGCCAACCATGTGACATTTCAGTAACTTAAAAACACGGCACGTAAATACGGATGTCAAACACAGCCATTCGATGCAAAATCTCTTCTACAGGTGAAAATGATGTATTGATAAATTGAAGTTCTATATGATGAGGGCAGAACAAATCCCACTCAACGTTTATCTGCTACTTGCACTGAAATTCTTAATTATAATACATTAGATGTATCAGTTCTTTTTGACGCCTTTTCCCCGGCGCCTAGAGGGCCAACTGAAGCTTGGTCATGTTTCTCTGATGCATGTTATGGTGACGGACCAGCTCATCAGATCTGGCAAACTTCTTCTGACAACTGGGCCATCGGCAACTGAATGGCTTCTCACCTGTTAACGATAAAATATATAGTTATCATTGAGCGCTGTGCCTCTCACTGAAACATCAATGTGCCCACCAATGTATCCAATTTCATATTTTTGCTTGCTGCTCTGTAAACGAAATATTCATCAAAATATCATGGTATTTGAATACAACATTTTTTTATTAAAAAAATGCAAACTAGTTTGTGCTTAGTGCCGCTAACTTCCTGATCAGTGCCTTCTCGTGAATATCGAGACACACACCTTTAAATAGTGCCCAAATCCCTCAGCTGAATCTCTCTTCTACTGCAAGAGAGGCCAGATGTCTCAATATAATAAAACATGGTGGATGAAGGATCGTACTTACTAAGTGTGGATCTACATGGTCTGCTTAGCTCTATAGAATTTAGCAGACCCAGGTAAGCTGTCCACCTATACTAAAATGTTTCTGTGATAAAAAATAATAATGAAATTAATGCACAGCTGTACATTTGATAGCTATTTAGCTGGCTCAATTTATAGAAGAAAGAATTAAGGTGATTTAAATGCTATTACGCATACATACCAATATATATATTGGCTGTTTCAAGTAATCAAGTTCAATAATCTCAGCCGTGGAGGCTTTGAAATTATGAAATTCAGTTTGAATTCTCACTTTGGTTAATAACCCACAATATATTTTCAATAGTTTTGTTGGTGTAGTCAACTATTGCTTAGCTAGATAGGTTTGGCATCATATACCTGTGGAATTAAATATGGTATCTGGTTTTTACCTCTTTTCTCAATTACTCAAGTTTTGTCAAATTTCTCACTAGAATACCATAGAAACAGAATTTGAGAATTCCGTTTTCTGCAATCATTATTTGTTCTGGAAGCAATTTTTTACTGTCTTATAAGCAATCTCGCCATCCAGCAACCGCCATCACCACCGTCATTATCGCTGGTCTGACGATATTGCAGAGATTAAAAACCAACTTGGAGAAGTGGTGGAACTTTCAACAAATTATAAAATATTTGAGCTTGCAGCAAAAAACTAACAGAGTCTCTCCTCCCAGTGTCTTCAAACAAATGGAAAAAAACAGAAAACAAATTGAGTTTGCTCAATGCCAACCTTCTATGAGTATCAATATAGATATTTCATGCAACACCATATAAACAATGATTGAAATGCATATGTATACGTGACTATTTAATTATTATTATTAGTTGTTTTTATAACGTTGTACAAGTTATTAATATATTTATTCACTTATTAGAAGCTTGGCATTGCTCAAAGTCACGTTTTATTTTTCATTTTTGTTTAATTCAATATTCACAGATTTTATCAAGTCAGTAGGTTAATAAATAAATTTAAAGAAAGGTTTACGCACTTGTTTTACCTGTATGAGTCCTGGTGTGTGTTTTCAGGTGGTCCGATCTGGAAAATTTTCTTTGACAAGTTTTACACTGAAAAGGCTTCACTCCTGAAAAACATTATTAGAATATTGTCTTAATGGAATCTTAAAAATAATGTTATTAGTCCGAACAATGATTTGCATTCTCATGACTACTGTTTGAAATGAAATATACATTTAACACTTGTACTTGTTTGTGGAATTCTGCTACTTTGTGCCTATTGTTTTATACTTTCTTTTCTTTGTAAATAATAACAAGCAATATTTGTCTTACTATTGGGTGTAAAATATTACATATACGTACATGTGTATTATATTTAATATGCACATATTTTTTTTAGGTACGTATTCTAGATTACCCTTGCTCCACGTGGGGTCGTAATTTTTAAGTTTTACTAGATTGGAAGCTCTGCTTATGGGACCAAAACTATGCAGGCATTCAAGAGTTACTTCACAATAACATCTTCAGGAATCTCAAAAACATCTTCTAAGAAGGTTTTATTTGTTTAGATGGTGCAGACCAAGAAGGTTCATCTGATGAAAGAGGATTTAAAACGGACACTGTAGGCAGCCAGACCACCTTATCTCAATGAGGTGGTCTGGGTGCCATGTCCCTGTAGTTTTAACCCTGCAGCTGAAAACATTGCCATTTTGTAGGAACCCCAATGTTTTCATTGCAGGTTTAACATGCCTGGATGTGTGGATGTCACACTAAAAGTGCAGAGAATTGGAGACATGGATGTCACACTAAAAGTGCAGAGAATTGGTAATTTTGACAGCAAATTGAGCAGTGAGGCTGCAGGGACATGGTCCATACCCCCAAACTGCCTCATTAACTAAAGTTGTTTTGGTGCTTAGAGAGTCCTTTAAATGGAATTTCAAGTTTCAGATATAAGCAGTCACTTAATAATTGAGATAATACAGAAAATGTAATGATTTCTGACAGTCACACACCTGTGTGCCTTCTCTGGTGCCTTTTGAGTTGATCTGATCGAGAGAATCTTCTTTCACAGTCTTTAAAATCACACTGATATGGTTTCTCTCCTGGGGGGGAAAGAAGACAGATGTGTCACGGTATGATGACAATCACACTAGTCAAACATGGAACAGAGTTTTTTATTTGTTTTATGAAGAACATGTGCTATCACTGTAGTAATCTTACAATCTAATGATCTTATGATCTAATTTGGCTGCTAGATGTCAGGGGTACTACCCATATCCATGGGCTGGTGGGATAGGTGGGGAAGCCATAAAATCTCCCCGACCTTCAATGAAACCCTTTTTTATAACAAGGTAGTTTGTATTTGGCACTGGGTGTAGATAACTGCTTCCTTGCATTCTGGAACTCAGAGAATAAATTCAGGAATACCAGACTGAAAATAGCATTTACAGTGATCTACACTTAGCAGAGACATGGGACACAAGCTCCCACTATCAGACCACCAACAAGCGACCATCATTACACTGGACCCCCTCCATGCCCCAAAATAAGCAGCAAACACACATATACAACACACAACTTCCCCGTTATTTAAAGGGACATTCTAAGAACATAATGATATTTGTTATAAGCTGGAGCACTTCCTGTCACTGGAGGTCCACCCATACTAAGCTCTATTCATAACGCAAAAGTAACACTTCAGTTTTATCAATGTCAATGTAAATTCTGTGTAATTTGGGTGTCATTGATTGGCTGAGAATAACATTATAGTTCATCTAATGTATCATAATGAAACATGAAACGATCAGAAGGGGAAAGGTTGCATTTTAGAACAATGGGGGAAGCCATATTTTGTAGAAACTACTCTGGATACATCATACAAAACACAATATTTATCATTTTTTACCAGTGTGTTTCCGGCTATGCATCTGCAAATGGGACAGTTTGAAGTATCGTTTGTTGCACCCTGGGTATGCACACATGAAAGGTCTTCTCTCGTTAGTTTCTGTCGCTGATCTGACAATCGCCGGGGTGACTCCAGGTACTCGCCTCACATCCTGCATGAAAGAGAAATTCATTCTTATTTATACTAATCAATGTTATAGAAGTGCATGATGGTTTGTACAATGGCATAAATGAATGGAACTCTTTAAAACAGTAATTGAAAACATTGTAACACAAAACCGAATACATAGAGAGGACCTTATATCACAAGT